CGCTGATTTCATGGCTGATTCAAGTGGTCTAGTCAGTTTTCTAACAGTCAGTTACTTTTCTAACAATCCAACCTTCAGGGTGGATTGTTAGAAAAGTTCGCTGTGGTAGTTTGCTATGTATATAAACACAATCTATTTTTCAGGTGAGTCATGTAGCACAAGACTTCATACGGCGCTGTTTACAATACAAAAAGGAGGATCGAGCTGATGTGTTCGAGCTTATGAAGCACGAATTGTTCCGACCACGAGGACAGGTTAGCTATCAGATGTTGTTCAACTTTGTGAAGGCCGCAGTATCCAGTGAAAATTTACTGCTCTGTCCTCTCTGTTTTTCGAAGGATCACCATTTAATATTGCGCATGATAGAGCAGGTTTATGGTGTATCAGGGTTACGTGCAGCTTATAACAGTCATCAGTGTTTCTGAGGTGCGGCCGCCTGGGGTCAAACTTTTGCACACAACTCAGCTTTCTTGTGGCAACAAAGAATGTTTCGCATTGGGTAGAATCTGATTCGCGAAATGCGGCGGACCTTCTACCCGCTTCCAATTACGCTGGGTAACATACCATGATGTACCGTTCCGTAGTCATTACTCTTAGCATACTCAGATGTTTTTCAGTGCGCGAACTCGGTAAATTGTTGACCTCTTCGAAAAGGATTTGGACAGAGAATCATCAAAGCGCGCAGGTGAAATCCGTTGCATCCAAAATACGACTGGGAGAATCGACAAAACGGGAGAGCCGACGAATCGCGTGGGAGATCGCCGATTCTATTTTACACTGGGTTCACCACTTTTCTTAACTGGGCCCGATTCTACTCATCGAACATTGTGAATGTGGTTCGATTTGTATTCATCGGGGTAGCAGATGAAAAAGATGTGCTAAGCCCTAGTGCAATGGTCGTAGCGATAAAGAGAAAAAAATGTGCGATGCGAAATGATATGATCACATGGGGATCGAACAAACGGGGTTCTTAAGTATGTAATGACCGGGGAAAGTGGGTTCAACTTGGAGACGTGAGCCACTTCCGTGATCACGAAAGAGAGCCACTTAGAAAAGCTCGTGATTGAAGAATCGCCCCGTAAGGGAAAGGGTTACATCGAATAGAAGCTTGATGTGCTCCCGGAAGTTCCATTCATAGTCCGTCCGTACGCAGAACTAGCAGTTGAGATCGTCATCGAGGAATTGTTTGTTATCCGGTCTTCCTGCCATCGCGTCTAGACCTGAATCTGCTACATGACAGCACCTAATCGTCAGCGCTGTTCTTGTGACCTAGTTAACGTTGGCGACCTCTACTAGTCCTCGTCGCTGGTTCTTTATGACGCCATCGTTGTTATTTTCAAGCTCCCCTTGCGGTAACGTTGCCGTTGAATGGTTTCTACCTAGCACTGAAAGCTGCGGCTATCTGGCTTAAGTGGGAACTAGTAAACTGAGCAGATAGTATAGGTGAGGGACTCGTTTACTCAGGAGCTTCACGTTTGAGCGGGCGTTCAGTGCTTTCACAAATAAATCTGACCATCGGGCCGACAGTACTCTAGGTTTCGCGTGATATTCAATAAAATCCAGTTTGGTTTTTAATTGTCGACTTGCTACTGCTACTTCCGGATTCCCTACATGATTTATGAAAATGGGAAAACTCCCAACATTTCAGCATTGGCACACAGTGACAATTTCACGTTCAATCTTGCGCGGGGTCGAAAATCTTGAATGGACTTGAATACCTTCAAAGACTTTCGCTTCCTTCTTCTCAGAAACCAATCCTGCCTTGATTTTGGTCCTAACTGTGCGAGCTGAAATTCAGTTCAACATCATGGTGACCTCTTTGCAGAGAGGCAGAATTTGCGAGCTCTGTTTTCTCGTGGATATGACCGATCAAACCAGTTTTCCCGTCAGTGTACATGCAATGTTCCAGTGCTGTTGAAGACAGATCTTATGTTTCTGTAGATTACAAATAGTAGGCGGTTTGGGCCAACTGTAAATGTTGTGCAGAACTTTAGCGCAGCAGCAGATGCTGGTTTCTTACTGAGCGGTTAACTTGTGTTCCTACAGGGTGTGGCCAGAGTTTTGATGATATCTAAACGTTCTTTCTTCAGATTTTCCGACGCTAACGTAGTTGGAAGGGGGGGGGGCACAGTACTCTGCTCTTCTGCACTCGCCGAGAGAATTGTTTTGAACAGTCCATTAAGGATTTCTAGCATATTCGAGAGGGGATATTGATTGGGATGATTAAGATTAAGATCAAGAGGGGAAAAGAAAGGTTAACTGCATGAACCCACACGAGAATTCGGCGCAAAGCATGGTTTTTGCTGCTTCTACCCTTGTAGGGCGCTATTGGAGTAGAGGGGGGCGACATTTAGGTCTTGCGTAGCATCCGAGGCATTCTGCGCTTCTTCGCCTTGTTCACCATTTAATGCTTAGCATTGCTGGATTACCGATCTATGACGAAGCTGCATTCATGATCTAATCCTGAAAGTACGAAGTTACGTAAAAAAACCCTCACTGACTCCGGCCCAACACGAGGATACCATCTCGGTGAAGAAGGAGATGAAGAGCAGAAAGCGCCTGGTCCCCCCTCCCCTCCCGGCTAATGCCGTTTGGACTCCAGAAATTTCGGCTCCGAGCTCATTTTAAAAGTGGCAAGATCACCAAATCCGCTAAAAACTTGTATATAGGGGTAATTCAACATCCTGATCACGAATATGACATTCATTTTTGGCGCTGGCGCTAATGGATGACACTACGGTTACCTGCGCTCTGCTAAGGCTGAGCCCAGGAGGTAATCGTAGTGTCCTCTCTTGGCGCCAGCGCCAAGAATGAGTGTCATACTCGTAATCAGGATGTTGAATTACCCCTATATACAATTTTAGTGGATTTGGTGACTTAGGCAATTTGAAAATGAGCTCGGAGCCGAAATTTCTGGAGTCCAAACGGCATTAGCCCTCCCTTGATACGTTAACACCGATTTTCCAACCTGATCCCGTTGTTTAGCGATATGTATGCTAACTAAAGCAATGTGTCAATAGGGTTTTGAAAGTTTACTGTGATGATCATGCTCATCCGCATATTTTTCTAGTTTCAGAAGAGTGGACCGCCATCATCACCCAGTATTTCACGGAGTCTTTCAAAAGGAGATGTGGAAGAGTGAATGTATGGCGACTAAAAGTCAATCTCAGGACATGTCCAATTCTCTGTGTCTCTCCCTCTCTCTCTTAACGAGCTTCGGTCACCGAGCGCTCGAAATCGCTCACAAAGAGGTCATCGCTTTTTGGATCGTAGCTTTTTAGAGTATAAATTGATTGTTTTGATTCGTTCATGCGTATTCTGGGTTAATTCGAAACTTGTTTTACATAACTTTTGTATTCGTTGGACTTAACTATGGACAAATTCTGAAGTACCCAGTTTACAAATGTATTGAATTAATCCTTTTATGACAGGTTCAGAGCGCAAGAGCTCTCTTAAAAATTATGTTTGCTACGTTTTTTATTCCTTACCTTTTTGTATGATGTATAATGATCCGGTGTTAGAAATGAAATTGCTCCTGTTTCCACATCATCCACACGCTTTGTTGATCCAATGTTCCGCCCTAATCTCTTTCAACTTGTTAATATTCTATCGCTTGGGAACTTCCCCTCTACGAGTTTTTTTTTGTGTAATTAATTATTTTTGTATAATGGAGTAGCGCACATTTTTGCAAGTGTAATTTGATAAAAGAATTTCGTTGGTGGTATAACGCGCGCTATTGTTGTTTCCCCCCACATGACAAGACTACGTGTCTAGCAATTGGCTACACACAAAGTATTATGTGAATTTTATTTATGTTTGATAAAAGTATGAATGACAGTTGGATTTTTGTTCTATCACATATAACATGGTGATCATATCTGTGTGATACCGTCGATTAATCGATTGCCGGTGATAATCGATGACGTCAATATGAGACATACATTGGGCATAAGTTGAATTCCGGCAAGTTCTGCTCGCGTTACACCACCCACGATGAACACAGCCGTGCGATCGTCACCTAGAAACAGTGCCCACATCACATTTTTCTGTCTCGTCGGCCGCCATTCTTCTTTGCAATGCCGATCGATGATTCTAATGAGTCACCAAGTGCGCTTTAAACGCCGTCTTTGCAAAGATTAGCAGAATTCTAACCAGGGAAGTCCGCCAACTTACCATGAAACTGAATGGAGACCTGGGTAGATCGATAGAGTCTATAAGGTTATTTACAAATATAGATAGCAAAACTGCAACCTGCATTTCAGCAACTTATGAGCAGGTAAAGTTTGTAATGGTGCAGTAGGGTGGAGGCTTGGTGGTGAGCTGTGAAGCATAAGCGAGGAATCGCATGTCGAATCGAGTCGTCGAACGTCGAACCTTACCACTGAACCACCACGACTCGATTCGACGTATGCGATTCCTCGCTTATGCTTCACAGCTCACCACCAAGCCTCCACGCCTCCACCCTACTGCACCATTACAAACTT